TTTTTGGCCTGTGTTTTCTTAAACTTTATTTTCTAGCATCACTTTTCTAGCATCACTGTAGTTTAAGCTAGAATTTTGATTTTTTCTAAACAGAGGCCATCATTCCATTGACTTGGAAGGCTATGTTAGTGTAAACAAAATTCCAATGTATTAGTCTATTTCACTTCTGTTTTGTTCTGTCTGGACTGTCTTCTATTTGTCTATTCTACTGTGCCAGTAGCACAGTTTTAATAACTATAACAGGTTTTTTATACTGCGGATTGAACCCAGGGCCTCTGCACTGAGCTACATCCCCAGCCATTTATGCTGTTTCACTTGAGATGGGTCTTACTAAGATGCTAAACTGCCCAGACTGTGTTTGAACTCATCAGCCTTAGCCTCCTCGAGTGCTGGATTAGAGGTATGCATGCCCACACCCAGCTAATCAGTGTTTTAGTAAGGTCTTTGATAGCTGGTTGGGGCAATTTTCTCTTCTCCCCACTGTTCCTTTTAAAAAAATCTTATGATTACTCTTGCAAAGTTTCTCCTATAAACTTTATAGTCAGTTTATATATAACACCTGCAACTTAAAGGAGTTTTTTTGGATCAGTTTGTGGGCTCAGTTTGTGGCCTGCCAACTTCAAGGCAGAAATGGCACATTGGAAGGGCCTGGTAGACAGAAGCTGCTCAGGCACGGTGGCCAGGAAGCAGAGAACAAAGGGAGGAGCTGGTGACAGTAATACACTTGTCCAGCTCACCTGTGACCCACCTCTCACCAGCCCCCACGTCCTAATAGCATGGTCGGTGTTTTTGTTTTAAGAGAAGGAAAATTTATTGGGGCATAGGAACAGCTCCTGAGAGACAGCAGAGGTCCCGAATGGGTGCCCATGCATGCAGCTATGAACATGGACTAATCCACTGATGAATATAGTGCCCCCATGATCCAGTCACCTTCCAAAAGCCCCACCTCTGAATGCAGACTTTAGGGGACATTTTAGGTCTAAACCATTACAGCTTGTTTGGTTTCCAAAACAAATGGCCTCTGTTGGTGTATTAATTGGAGTAACATAGGGGTTGGGGATACAGCTCTGTGCCACAGCGCCTGCCTGGCAAACATGAGGTCATGAGTTCAACTCCCAGTACCCTCCCCCCTAAAAAAAACCTGGAGTAACACTGAGTTTACAATACAGGGTCTTGGATTCATTCTAGAGACCTACTCTGCAGTCAGGTATTCCTGTAAGAAAAAGATGCTGTCTGAAGATGCAAGGTGTTCCAGTGCTGAATGTTGTTTAGAACATTGCGTTTAGTCTTTCTGCCTTCCCTTTGCACACCTAGGGCCTAACACTCTGCCTTGAAGACCTAGGTTTACTTTGCTTTCCTTCCCTTCACTGCCAGGTACCAAACTTCTGTATTCCTTTCTTTCCCTCAGTTTAGCTACTGTGAACTTTGGATTCAGACTTTGCCTAATCTATAAATTAGAGGAAGTGAAGCAAAAGCATGTACTCTTAGGCATATAATTTTTTTTTTTTTTTTTTTTTGAGACAGGTTCTTGCTGTGTAGTTCAGGCTGGCCTTGAACTCACAGCAATTCTCTTGCCTGTTTCCCAAGTGCTGGAATTACAGGTGTGCACCACCATTCCTGGCTTAAGTATATAATTATAACCTTAAAGTAGCCCAATGTTACAGTACTGGTTTAGGAAATACTAAATTTTGATAGTAATAATTCTCTTACATTTCAGAGGAATTCTTCAGGTGGATAAAATGATTATGCCTGTGACACCTATCCACTTCTATCCAGAGTGCTCTGAGAAGACAGCAGAAAACCTTGAAGACAAACATGTATTTAAAAATTAAAGTACCGTCTCAGATCATGGACTCTGGACGAGTTTGTTGTCTCCAGTTTGCCATTTGACTATATTTTTCTTTGAATTACTAAGAATCAGTTTATGCACAGAGAAATTGCCAAACTCCAGAGCCTGCCTGAAAACTGACTTTTACAGTGTCAAAATAAAGTTTACCTTATTCTATAAACAGGTTGGCTCTTCAGCTGATGAATTTTTAAGAGAAATTTAAGCAAAGTGGAAGAGAAGACACATGAAGAGACTGAAACTACCAAAAAGGAAAAAAAGGTGAGATAGAATACCATGTGCCAATAACTTTCCAAGGTACTTTTGCTAAGGAAATTATACCCACTTAATTACTGTGACTTCATGAAAAGCACTTTATGAAAGTCTAATTTAAAACTTAAGAACTGCCGGGCATGGTGGCTCATACCTGTAACCCCAGCACTCAGGAGGCTGAAGCAGGAGGATCGCTGCGAGTTTGAGGCCAGCCTGTGCTACAAAGTGAGCTCAAGGCCAGCCTAAACTGCATAGCGAGACCATCTCCAAAAGACCAAAAAAAAAAAAACTCAAGAACTTAGCACTTATTTTTTTATTCAGTACAGAACAACCTAATATTAAGTGTGTGACTCAGTATAAAAACACTGAAGTGTATTATAATTTGATTGTATCCAGTACCAAGACTGTTTACCTTGACTACACCAGGATTTACAGTGACATGTTCTCATTCAAAAAAAAAACATTTTTGGGCCAGGGATATAGCTCAGTGGTATAAGCGCCTTCCTGGCAAGCGCAAGGTCCCGAGTTTGATTCCTGATACCAAAAAAAAACACTTTTTTTTTTTTTAATGTGTGGTACCGGGAATCGAACTCAGGACCTTGCGCTTGCCAGGCAGGCTCTTGTGCCACTGAGCTATATATCCCTGACCCTAAAATAAATGTTTCGTGAGGTAAAAAGAAATACAGCTGTTTTGGTTACAATTACATAACCTCTCCTGGACTCCAAAATATTAAAAAAAAAAAAAAAAAATGCCCTATGCATGTGTAAGTATAGCTCCTTTCACTTAACACTGGCTGAAGCCAAGGTTCAGATCAGGTAATGACTCTATCATGCTCATGGACTCAGTGTACCCTTCATCTTGTGTTTTTAAGTATAGAACTATTTACCCTGTATATTCTCTTTACTTTTTTTTAAACCACCACTCACACTGACACATTTTAACAATGCACCACCATGCCCAGCTTCTAAAAAGCACTTTATATTTAGAGTAAATAGATATGCACGTAAGGAAGAGTAATGACAACTACAAAGAGGAACGAGGGATGTGACCTTTTCCTGGCTTTTAATGGTAAATGTTAATTGTGTATGATTCCTATCTCCACATTACAAAAACAACAAAAATAACGGCAGGAAACTTATAATCTGATCCTTGCTAGGAGTGGTGGCACACACCTCTAATCCCAGCACTCAGAAGGCTGAGGCAAGAGGATCACTGTGAGTTTGAGGCCAGCCTGGGGATACACAGTGAGTTCAAGGCCAGCCTGAATTACAGAATGAGACCCTGTGTCAAACCACCCCGCCCAAAAAATAAAGCACTGATCCTAAACTCACTAGCTAGTAATGCTTAATTTTTTTATGCTAGTTACAATGTCTTATTGCATCTGTTAACCACAAGCTTATAGACTGTAGCCAGGAGGAAAACGGGAGACCACATGGTCTGTTGGAGAGGAGAGTCTCTGCAGTCAGCAGGTTTCTGTCCTGGCTTCTCCTTCCCAGGGAGACTGGGGACCATAGCAAAGAACTCAGTCTCCTTGAGGCTCTGTTCTTCTGTGATTGGAATGACACAATAAATTATTGTAAGAAACCATAAAGGGAAATCTTACCCCAAAATGTATATATACTTTTTTTTTTTGGGTACCGGGAATCAAACTCAGGACCTTGCACTTGCCAGACAGGTGCTTATGCCTCTGAACTATATCCCCAGCCCTATATATACTTTTATTTCATGAATTACCTTTATTTATACAATTAACTGTTGTGAGTCTGACTAGAGTATAAGAACGGCAGAAGCTTAGAAATACCTGTAATATCGCCTCTTATATAGGCAAAGTTACTCAGACAAGATTGTGGGGTTGTTTTGTTTTGTTTTGTTTTGTTTTGCTTTTTAAAAGCACAGTAAAAGGGCCGGAGGTACAGCTCAGCAGCATAAGCACTTGCCTGGCAAGCCTGAGGTCATGAGTTCAATTCCCGATACCAAAAAAACAAAGTAAAAGCACAGTAAAAATGAACAATTTTACTGTCCCAGAAAGAGGGAAGCTACTATGCTACCAGGTGGAATGGAAGGCACAGTGGGTCCGGGCCTGGGTCACAATGAGACAAATCAGTAAATGCTAAAGAAAAACAAATTTGGAGCTTAAAAAATTGCCTTTATTCAGAATCACAAGGATTTTAAAAAATCTTATCATTATGAAAGCTTTAAAAAAATATAGCACTCAGTGCAATGAAATACTACATTTAATTATTTTCAAAGATGTAAGGCAGATTTCTCACAGTTTACATGTGAGAATTTAGCATGATCCAAACTCAAATATCCATTTCTCGTATCTCTCAATGTCTGCAGCAGATACTGACTTAGAAACCTTTTTTAAAGCCATTTCAAAATCTTCCATTGTGGTGGGCATATGCATTTCTTCTCTTGAAAGATTTCGAATTTCTTCTGGGGTCAAACCTTCAATTCGCCTTCTCATTGCCATCAAGGATGCATCCCTAGGTTTTGAGGTGTTTTTTTTTTAAAAAAAGCCACAAAGTGTTATTTTGATTGAATAAAAAAAAACTAATGCATGTATTATAATATTCTCTAAGGTCTTACCATATAATAGACATATGTAGCAGTGCATTGGATCTTACCCTGGACACAAAGCGCGTTCTAAATTGTTTTTTAGCAATTCAGTCTTCCATTCTAAAGTAAGAATACTAACCAATATGTACTTGATAATGTGCATAACACCCAAGAAATTATTTATGATAATGTGCATAAAACAAAGGTGCAATAATGCTAGCAGTTCATTTCACTGTAAGTAGTCAATAAAATAAAGAATAAGCATCACAGAGACAGAATGTTTTGCCAGAAAACTCTACGTAAAGTCAAAGATGTCAAGCTTCCCCGTTCTATTTCAGAACATGCACCTCTTTCCGTTCCCCAACACTCGGCTATGACGGTGGCCAGCACGCACGCAGACAGTCTAGCTGCTTTATGTGTATACACTCACTGACTGCTGTAACCCTGAAGGTGTGCTCACTTTAGAGCTGAGGGAGCTGGTGTACTCGCGATCTTTGCTAGTAAGTGTGAGCTAAGATGTGGATTAGGATAAAAATCTACTTAACTGGATTACACGCAACCTTTTTTTTCTTGCTCTTTTTTCTCCCATTCCCCTTCCCTTCCTTTTCTCTCTCTCTGTTTCTTTTCTTTGGTCTTTTTGAGACAGGGTCTTGCTATGCTGTTGAGGCTGGCCTTGAGCTCCCTTTGTAGCCCAGGCCTCCCAAGTGCTGGGATTACAGGTGTACGCCACCACGCCCGTCTATTGCTCCCATTTCCATCTAAAATACGTTCACTAAGAACAAGATGATCTTATTTACCCTATGGGTATGTCAAATCAGTGTTTTACAGTCAGTTCCCACGTAACATCATAGTGACGGAATGTGCCCACAACTACTTAAATCCGATACTACTATTGACTTTTACCCACATTTTTCTAATATTAACATCTTGAACTAACAGTTTTAAAATGACTTCACTGACATGCAAGATACACAAATACCTTACCAGTACCTGCTTTCACCAAGATACCCAAATACCTTACCAGCACCTAAAATTTAAAACTGAAATTTGAGCTAGGTGTGGTGCCACAGGCTGTAACACCAACACTGAGAGGCTGAGGCAGGAGGATTGTAAATTCAATCTAAGCCTGGGCAATTTAATAAGACCCTGTCTCAAAATTAAAAAAAGAGTGATGCTGCTCAGTGCAAAGGTCCTGGGTTCAACCCCCTAGTACCACACACACAAAAAAAAACTTGTGACCCTGATGTAAGCGACTTAAATGTGGGTCTTTACATTAATGCAGCATAAAAACTTAATACATTTTGTCTTTTTTTTTTTTTTTTTGAGACAGACACTACATAGCATATGCTGTCCTCAAACTCATGGTGATCCTCCTGTCTTGGCTTCCCAAGTGCTGGGATTATGGGCATGTGCCACCATGCTCGGCTATGACAGTTTCCACTCACAAAAACCACACTGTCCAGAAGAACGCATACCTGCACACGTTGGTAATGTCCGCACCTGAATAGCCTTCCATCTTTTCTGCTATACTTGCAAGGTTAACATCATCAGCCAATTCCAGCTCACGCAGACTTATTCGTAATAGCTCCTCCCTGCCTTTTGCTAATGGTAGAAACGAATTTTAAAATGTAAGCCTTCAAAAGAAACACTATTATTATTTCTGAAGTCTACTTTGTATGAAGAGTTCTTGTCCAATTCTCATTTGCTTGGAATTTCAAGAGCTGCCACTCACTGAACTTTTAAATTCTTCATTATCAAGGCTTCCAAGCCCTAGATGTAGCCAAACTAGTAAAGCAAAGAAATTATAATTTATTCCTTATATTTATCTCTCTAGGGAAGATTAATACCAAACTGCAAATTAAAACTACTTGGCAGGAGGTTTCAGACAAGATCTAAATGATGATACCTGATGGTAAAGGAATATAAATTCGTTTTTCAAGACGTCGCCGTAAAGCCTCATCTATATCCCAGGGAAAATTTGTAGCTGCCAGAACCATAACCATTTTGGAAGGGTCTTCATTTTCAGAAGCACCTCCAACACCTAAAGGGATAAGGAAAGAATAAATAGAAATACAGCTCAGCTATAGAAAGACTGTCAAATATCTAACAGAACAATACAAGGTAGTGTAATCATCATGTTTCCCTAAGATTTAAAAAGCTAGAGCTGGGTGTGGTGGCACATGCCTGTAATCCCAGCACTCGGGAGGCCACAGGAGGCCAAGGCAGGAGGATCATTGTGACTTGAGGGCAGCCTGGGCCGAGTTCAAAACCAGTCTGAAATGCATAGTGAGACCCTGTCTCAAAAAGACCAAAAAAAAAAGATTTACAAACGTAACTTGTAAATATATGAATTTCTAATCCAAGGAAAATGAGTTTCTGTAATACACAAAAATACTATTCAAAACAGACTTAATCAAAAGATCAGCCCAACTCAATTACTCAATTCAAAACTGTTTTCAAAAGCATATATAGTCTCTAAGGCAAATTTACCTTCATTAATTTTTACTTCAATTTCATGGTTCAAGGTAAGAGATCAGTATGTATATATGTGTGTGACCTACAGATCCCCATTATTTGAGACAGGTTACCACCGCACTGTACCAAATTTACCACTATTAGTCTTGAGGCTCTATGTGCCACGCCCCCGGTCCCTCTGGAGTTCTGAGGAGTTATTAACTAAAAGCTCTGGGCTAGCACTAGCAGTAGAGCTCGAACCACTGTCGCTGTACACTCAGCAACCCCCACGCCCCGGGTCCTTGCGAGCACAGACACGTATCTACCATCCATCTGAACCAGCAGCTCTGCTTTCACTCTTCTGCTTGCTTCATGCTCTTCAGAAGTCCCTCTGCGGCTACAAATGGAGTCTATCTCATCAATAAATATAGTGGCTGGAGAATAAAATCGAGCCTAAAGAAAGAAACATGCATTATTAAGTTTATAATTCATTTAAACAATCTACGGGCTAGCAATTAGAAAATGGCTGAAGCAGCTGCCCTAATATGCACCTTTCAGCCGGGCATAGTGGTACACGCCTGTAATCCCAGCACTTGGGAGGCTGAGGCAGGAGGATCACTGAGTTCAAGACCAGCCTGAACTGCATAGTGAAACCCGGTCTCAAAAAAACAACAAAAAACTTTTTAAAAGTTAGTGGCTGCCACAAGCTGTGCCAAGGGGTACAGTGTGACTTCTTTTTCAGGAGATAAAAAGGTCCTAATTGTGAATAAACTGAACACTAAATTTATACTTTAAAATGGTTTAAACTGTTTTACTTTAGTTCAAACTTGGAAGACACAGGGGCTAGGGATATAGCTCAGGGGCACAGCATCTGCCTAGCAAGCACAAGATCCTGAGTTTGATTCTCAGTACCAGAAAAAAAACAAACTTGCAGACACGTATGTACATTGACTCTTCTAATTAACTGCTTAAGAGCATTAAAATATACAATACTGTTAGTAGTCAAATTTATAAATGGCAATTTAATTAGAATTCCTTAGACACTATAATTTTATTTAAGCTACTGGTTCTTTTTGACCAAATTTTTTCTAGAATTTTAGAATACTTACCAATATATAGAATGTTTTTCCACCATTTACCTATATCATCACAGTGTACAAAATAATCCTATATTCATATTCAAATACACATAGCCAGTTATGTTAGTTCAAGCTGGCCTTGAACACATTATGTAGCCCAGGAAAACTCACAGCAGTCCTCCTGCCTTAGCCTCCTGAGTGCTCAGATTACAGGCATGCACAACACACCTGGCAACAACCACTGATCTGTATGTCTATGGATCTGTGTAGTTCATATAAAATGAAATCATAAAACATACGGCCTTTCGTGTCTGGCCTCTTTCATTTAACATGTTTCCAATGTTCATTTATGTTGTGGCATATAATACTTTAGTCCTTTTTATAGCTGAATAGTATCCTCTAAGTTTATTTTTGCCCCTTAAATGCATGTCTTCCTCAAAGTATCAGGGAAGATCCATCTGAACCAGTAATAGGTCTCAGTCAAGTATTAATCTAGTAAATAGTTTAGACTCAACAATATCACTCTTAAGGAGAGTGAAAAAGCAATTTATTGCAAGAAGTTTATTGTTAATCATTATTTAAACCAAATAAAGATTTCCAGGGGCTAGGGATTTAGCTCAGCAGCAAAGCGCCTGCCTGGCAAGCGCAAGGTCGTGAGTTCGGTTCCCGGTACCGGAGAAAAATTAAAAAAAAAAGATTTCCAGAAACGATTTGGATGAACAAACATCATTTACATACTTGAACATGCAACCACACTGGGTCTATCAATTCTTTAAATGATGAGTTATAATCTAGTATAGTATTCTCTAAGAGGTAACCATGTTGAAGAAAAAAAATACTGCACCCAAAATATGCATTTAGGGGCTCGGGTTATAGCTCAGGGGCACAGCACCTGCCTGGCAAGGGCAAGGTCAAGAATTCGATTCCTGGTACCAAAAAACAAAGTATAGATTTAGTTTGAGTTTGTTCACTTGGAAAATCCAAATATGTAAGTCCCACTTTCTTTTCTAGTCGAAAATTTGCATTCTAAGTTGTCCTCCAACCCAATACTGGTGATTGAGCCCTGAGCCTCACACATGCTAGGCGAGCACCCTACCTCTGAGCCACACCCCTCCCTAGGGCTCCCAGTCTCATGTTTTGTGGTACTAGGAAATGTATCCAGGATCTCTGCACTGAGCTACCTCCCTAGCCATTTTTTTATTTTTAGGACAGGATCTTGTTAAACTGATAAACTGCCCAGTCTGAGCTCGAATTTACAATCCTTCTCAGCTTGCTACAGTGCTAGGATTACAGGTATGTGCCACCATACTCAGCTCCAACTACCTTTTTTTCTTTTTGATGAAAAGTTTCAGTTGCCTAGGCTAGTTTCAAACTTGCCTCAGCCTTCCAAATACTGAATTCCTTTTTTTTGGTGGAGGGGTTTTTTTTCAAACTCGAAACGATCCTCCTGCCTCAGCCTCCTGAGTGCTGGGATTAAAGGCATGCGCCACCATACCTGGCTCCACTGTGATTTTATATTTTGCTCAAAAGAGGCCAACTCTCCAGGGAGCTCTATGGATGATTCAGACCAACCCAATCAGATCACTGCAGTTCTGTGACCAAAGATGATGGGCTCAGGAATGAGCATGTGACTCACAAGAGGCCAAACAATTGCTGGACTTTCGCCTGAACAACTGGAACTTGTTCCAGTAACTTCTCTGGGAGTACCACAAAGACAACAAAAGATTTAAGATTCTGAGCATTACCTTAGCCATCTCATGAGCCTGCCTAAAGTTAAAGCCAAGACATCTAAGAGTCAGAAAGATTCCTAAGGACATCTGAACTGATGACTCCTGGTAGGCCTAATAATCTAAAAGGTAACTTCTGAAAATTCCCTATATTATTATTGTTATAATTATTTTCATTTAAATTCACTTTACTGCGATTCTACTGAAAATAATTCTTGACAATACAAGAATTATGGTTACATTTTTTAGTATTTGTTGCCATGCCACATGAAAAATACTAGACACTATCACCTACTTTAAGTGGCCTATTTAAAATACAGGTCTTAGTCGGGCATGGTGGTGCACGCCTGTAATCCCAGCACTTGGGAAGCTGAGGCAGGCGGCTTCCTGCGAGTTCAAGGCCAACCTGGGCTACACGTGAGTCCAAGGCTAGCCTGAACTGCAGAGCAAAACTCTGTCTCAAATATGTCTTAGGAACTGTTCAACGTTCACTTTGAAGGGTCCCAGGAAGGGAAAGGCACACTGAAAGCAACATCATCTATACTAAGGCAAAACCAAGGCAGGAAAGGCAGTGCAGTTCTAGCCAGTGAGAGTCTATGATTAACAGAAAAAAATCAGCGGACTTCCAATACGACCCTTAACATCTGGTCACCAGAGCAGAAGCGCCACACTGGCCTGAGTCAGCCAGGGCTCACACAGACTACTCCAGATGAACAGAGATTTACTTAATGGTGGTTACAGTTTTCCCAAGCTATTTCAGAGAACCAGTAAAAAATAATACTTTTCTTTGTATTCTTTTCTTTTTTTTTTTGGTACTGGGAATCGAACTCAGGACCTTGTGCTTGCCAGGCCGGAGCTTGTGCCACTGAGCTATATCCCCAGCCCAAAATAATTCTTTTTGATACTTTCATAAAAGTTACTATAAAAAAATAATGCAGGCTGAGGCAGGAGGTTCGCAAGTTTGAGCTCAGCCTGGGCAACTTAAGTCATTTAGCAGACCCTGTCTCTAAAAAAATTGAAGGGCTCTTGTACAAGAATGAAGTCCCATGTGAAAGGGTCACAGTGCCAGACCACAGCCATGGCCTACTGCCAGCAGGAAGGCAAAGATCCAATTATTTTTGTGACCAAAGAAGACCATGAAGCTCCCAGAAATGCAGAGCTGGTGGCTGATTACACCAACGAGCCATACGAGGAACATGGTCTGAGACTGCCAGACAGACATGAACTGGAACTGCCTGTGTCTAGGAAGAATGGTCAGCAGCCCGTGGCAAACTGTTTAGGTTGGGCTTTTCTTGCTTCCACTACAGCACCGCAGGTTTCAGGAGATCAGGCTGTCTAGCCTAGTTTTGGGCCCTGCAGGAATGTATGCAGAAATACCTGGATCTCTATCCCCAAAAAGAGGGAGGGGCATGGAAGAGGACAGGAGGGGGAGAAGTAGCAGCTGGCAAAACACATGCAGGAGATGGCTCCCACTGTGGCTACTGCAGCCAAAGAGGGGCACGCAGCCAGCAAAGGCCACAGCGGTGGGCGCCAGTCCTTCCACTTCACTGACACAGACAGGCCTTCTGCAAAATGCTCTGCAAGAAAGTCTTTTACTCTGTTGGTCTGTGCACTACAATATATAAAATAACCCATTTTCACGATCTTGGCCCCTTGATATATCCACTGGAAAAGAAGAGGTTGTGTGCCTCCTACATGAACTGGTCAACAATGCAGCCACCACTTTTGATTGCTTTTTTCTCAGATCACCCTGAATTTTGCCATCATGTAAAATCGTTATCCAGGAGTGTTTCTTGTGGGTGAACTGATTTATTCTGACCTGTAATATCCCTTCTAGGAGCTTTTATATCTGTTTGAGAAATAACATGGAAACAAAAACACCTCCCTTTAAAAATACTGGTGTGGGGCCATCCCACCTAACAGCAGAGGCCAGACGGTCAGATATGTATTTCCCAAGACTATCTTGCTCTGGAGTGTGCAAGGGTCCTGTACTCCATTCCTGTAACAGTTTGGTTTCTGTGTCTGCCTGAGCGCCAGCTTTTCTGGTCTGGAAGGTGATTTGAACCCTATGGCTCCCAGTCTCCTTCTACACGAAAGGCTGTGTTTTACTGCTCCTTGTTTTGTTGTTTCAAGAACCCTGGTTTGGGGTTCACGTTCACACTGGCTCAGTCTGGTCAGATTCAATATTACAGAAAGGTGGAGACCTGATTATCACCAGAGTAGCAGCCAAGAGAGAAAACAGTATAAATGAAATCATTAAAAGGAAGACGATTTCTTTTTTAAAAAAATTTTTTTAAGGACTGAGGGTGTAGCTCTGTACAAAGGCCCTAGGTTCAATCTCCAGTAGCGAAAAGCAAAACAATGCAACGGAACACAAAATAAAACAAACCTCCCATCAGTTGGGTGGTACATGTTGGTAATCCCAGCTACATGGATAAGTGAGGCAGGATGGTCACAAACTCAAGAACAGCCTAGGGCCGGGCACACTTGTAACTCAGCACTTGGGAGGATGAGGTAGGAGGATCTCTGCAAATCTGAAGCAGCCTATGCTACATACTGAGTTCAAGGCAAGCCTGGACTACATACCAAGATCTTGTCTCAAAAACCCAAAAACCAAAACTAAACAAAAAGTAGCAAACCGACAGCACGCATGCCACAGCAGACTGCTCATAACACTGAAAGCTCTAAAGGTTGCTGTCACTGGCTGAGGCAGTATGTGAGACACTATCTCAAAATAAAAAATTTAAAAGTACTGGTGGTACCATTCAGCACTCTCTGGGTTCATTCCCATAGATAGAGAGAGAGAGACTGACAGAGAAGAAAAAGCTAAACCAACCTTACGTTAAAATATAAACCACATAATTCTTAAACAGCAATAACTAATATTTACTGAGCTATGCATCAAACTTTATATTAAGCAACTTATCTGCATTAGCTTGTTTCACTCTAACATGATGGGTAGATTGTATATTAATATTCTTTTATAGATTAAGTAACCAAAGACCTGAAAAGGAGAGGAATTTCCTTATAGTTCATCAGCCAGGAATGTAACTGAGGTGGGATTTGAACCGAGGTCACCTGATTTTTAAAGACTCCATATTGAATCATTCTACTTAGCTTACTTTAAAAAAAAAAAAAGAAAATTAATTATTCTAGAATGCTGGAAGTCTACTCTTATTTTTCACTCAATGGGCAAATTATTTATTCAACATTATCTAAGACAGTCTCCATTAGGCTCCTGTTGTGCCATGGACTAGTAATGAGCCATTACAGCATATTATAATTGGTCTCCTGGGCTTACAATTTATCTAAGAGGAAGGAGAAAGAAAATGGGAATTCAAAAGGAAGAAGCCTTTTCATAAAATGGAAAACCTAGAATTGCAAAACTTACAGTTTTCTCGTCTTATTCTGAGCTCAGGAAGGAAGACCTGATATAGTATTAGCACGGTCATCTAAGGTTTTGTCCACTACGAGTAAAAATTCTTGCAGTGTTGCTGTCTAATCATGTAACTGTGCTAACACACGTAACTAGACTACCGCTTAGTGACAAGACTGAAGTAATCAGTAAAGTTTAGTAAGTCTGAAGAATAAAAGTTGTTGAATTCAACCACAAACACTACCAGAATTTGTTAAATTACATTTTTCTTATAGACACATTTTGGGGGTGGAATTAAAAAAAAAAAAAAAAAAAACTAAACAAAAAAGAAGCAAAAACTTAAGATTGGGCCATTAAACTCCAGTTGTTGCTTGATACAGCTCATCAGCTGGAGGGGATCTAAGTTCCATAAGCATTTAGTATTCTTACCTTTTGGCAGTGTTATAATACTGCATTTACCATATCATAACTAAGCCTGCTCATTTAAAAAAGCACAGTAATTTCAGACTCCTTTAGAAGATTAAGTAATGCTGATCCATAAGGGGAGCACGCTCATGACTAGCAGATGTGCATGGAACTCTGCAGAAAGGAGATAAAGAGAAACTCAAACTCCTCCTCTTTGTGAAGGATGTGCTCAAGGGCACAGGACTCACACCCTGCGCAGGACTGCTGCATGCCTGCCTAACCCACACACCGGAGAAAGTTACAACTCACTGGCTCCGCTTTCGCAAGTAAAGGATCCTTATCAGAATATTCTCAAACATTCACCATTTCAAACAGCAGACGAACAAGCTTCTCAGACTCTCCTCTGTATTTGGAAGTCAGAGTTGATGAAGAGACATTGAAGAACGTTGTCTTGCATTCTGTAGCCACTGCTTTAGCAAGGAGGGTTTTTCCTGTGCCAGGTGGGCCAACCATCAACACTCCCTGTTAGGAATATAACAATGTAAGCAAAAGATTGATCTGCGCTGTTTTGTTTTTGAGGCAAGGTTTCACTGTGTTGCCCATGCTGACCTGCAGGTGCTGAGCTCAGGTAATCCTTCTGTTTAGCTTCTCGAGTAGCTGGGACTCTAGGCACCTATCACAATGCCTGGGTTGCCACTGTTCTAATTCACAATAACCACATTACCAAGTATCAAATTTCAACCAACTTAAGACAAAGGACAAAGAAAAACAGGACACTTTATCACAAATGTGTTTTTTTCTATTACCAAAGGAAGATGACCACATAAACTTGAAACTCAGACATGAGGAGAAATACTTTATAATTCCTATACCCTAACACAGCAGCATGTAAAGGATGTGCAAGTGGCATCCCAATTTATTTCCTACTCTCTTTTTACTCAATTTTCTTTTTACATAGCTTACTCAAAATATGTCTATAGCATTGTATCTTCCTTATCACTTAACATTTAAAGAAACTTTTAAAATAATAAGTGCAAAGTTACTCATTAGCACATTTTACAAATCCAAGGGGTTTTTTTGGGGGAGCGGGGGTTGTTGCTTTTGTTGTTTTGTTTACCCCTTAGTCCATCACTTTCAAAAGTTCTCATCAGATACACCTCTCAAGTACTTTTTCATTCTTTTGGGGTAGTTTTGTTTTGTTATTTGAGACAGGGTCTCACTATGTAGTTCAGGATGGTCTTGAACTCACTATTGGCCTTGAATTCTCAGTGATGGCCTTGAATTCTCAGTGATCCTCCTGCCTCAGCCTGCAGAGTGCTGAGATTACAAGCATATGCTATACTGCCAGGCATCATTTGTTTGTTTTTTGAGACAGGGTCTTGCTACATAGTCCAGGCTGCCCTTGAACTCACTGTGTAAGCCAGAGCAGCCTTGAACTTGAGTCTCCTCCTCAGCCTCCTAAACACAGGATTTGAAAGTATGCACCGCCATGCCTGACTTCTCAATTTCTTGAGAATTCCCCAAAAAACAAATGAACATGCAAATGAAATGGCATAGTTGCACAAATACATGCTCATTCCAAATCTCATTCCAATGTTTTTAAACATCATTCCTATTTCTTACTCTGGGAATCTTGCAATAGGTTTTGCAAACAAAATTCTGAGTAACACAACACACACTTTTTGAAGCAGTAATATGTCAGCCGAACGTGATAACCACTACACTACAGAAACTTTGAAGCAGCAATGTGGATTATACCTGGAGCCTTCACAGAGTTACATCCCCAGCCCTTTTTTAATTTTTTGAGTGAGGGTGTTCTAAAGTCACTGAATTGCCCAGGCTGGGCTCAAACTTGGAATCCTCCTGCCTCAGCCTCCCAGAGTGCTTGGATTGCAGGCATGTGCCACCACACACAGCTCACTACGTACACCTTCTAAATGTTTCCTCCTTCCAATTTCTACCTCCACTTTCCCCGGCTAGATACATGGCGGCTCCCCAGGAGTGTACTGCCATTTACTTTAATGATGCTATTAGGGTGAACTTACTTTCCATGGTCTTCTAATGCCCTTAAAGAATTCTGGCATCCACATTGGTAATACCACAGCTTCTTTAAGCAACTTTTTAGCTTCTACTAAATCAGCAATATCATCCCTGAAAGAGAAGATACTTCATCAACAACCCCTTGCACTATACATGTAACTATGTCGTCACCCTTGAGAACCACTGGCGGTGCACAATTTTATATTGCTGACAGAATGTTAAGCCTCCCTCTGGCCATTCACAAACTAATACACTGTGTGGGTTTACCATCCCAGCCAATATTCATAAAGAACATAATCACTCTTCAGTTTTTCTTGGTACCAGAAAGTGAACTCAGGACCTTGTGCTTGTCAGGCACGAGCTGTGCTGCTGAGCTGTCTCCCCTGCTACTCAATTTTTAGCAGTAATTATTTTCAGTTTGGCTCATGAGAACAAAGGCCCATTGATCTCTTAAGTAAAGGTTTGAGTACCTCTTGTATAAAATGTTTGAAAACAAAGTGTTTCAGGCTTTGGAATATCTGCATAGATTTTACCAACTGAGCATCCCTAGCCCAAAAATCTGAAATGCTCTAAAAACTCTTTTTCTTTTTGAGACAGGATCTCATTATGTAGTCCAGGGTGGCCTCCATCTCAGTGATCTTCCTGCCTCAGCCTCCTGAGTGTTGGGATTACAAGCATGTGTCATCTCTGAACTTTGAACACTTCATACTTTTGACTTTCAGATTAGGGATGTTCAACCTATAGTAAACAAGCCAACTAATTTTAAATTCTCTGTTTTATGATGCTTATTCCATAATCCCTATGATTTAGCAACAATTAAGGCATTTTTTTAACAATCATGAAAGAATAAAGGGCACAGGAAGCTGAGGGAGGAGGATAATAAGCTCAAGGCCAGGCTGGGCAATGTACAGCGACCTTATCTCAAAATAAAACTTTTAAGAAAAGACTGGGATATAGCTCAGCACTCCCTAGATTCCATCCATCCTCAGTACTAGGAGGGGAAAAAAAAGAATAAAAGCAAATAAAGCAGAGGCAGCATACTGCTGCTTTGCCTCCAATTCTAGTAGGTAGATGACAATGTCAGAATATCACAGAAACCACCATGAAGTCATCTCCCAAATAGTGATACACAACAATTTTTATGTATTACAGAATTTTACCATGAAAATGTCTTTTTAATCTGTAAATATCAAATACCAAAAATGTTTAAGTGTTACCCCTAACCATCCCTTACGATTATTAATGTTTTAACAGAATATACCTAACTTTGTGGGAAAGCAAGCTTTTATAATTCAGTGTGCTAGATTACCTGATCTTTCATTAGATATAATTTTTATTTTTGTGTTTTTTGAAGACAGGGTCTTGCTGGGCAGTTTAGACTGGCTTGGAACTATGTAGCTCAGGGTGGCCTCAAACTCACAGTGATCCTCCTGCCTCAGCCTCCTGAGTGCTGGAATTATAGGCATGTGGCACCATACCCAGCCAGATGTAGTATTAATAAAGCTGAGAACCACTGCTCTAAGTAACAAGAAATAAAAACTTGACTTTTCATCATTAGCTACCCCCCAAAAGGTGACATTTCTATGATCTTACTTCCATTTTACAATTAATTTTTTTAAAATCTCAGACAAAACAGCTGGTATAGCCTGAGCCAAAATGAAGTTTTCCATTACGTGTCCTGCTCACATTGCAGAACTCTGGTTCTGCTCCCAGGGATCTTCAGTGTATGCATTTGCTTTAGTTACTGTTCCAAGAAGCATCCTGAGCACCCACTTATCTTGTTACCACATCACTTACCATCGGACATTGGGATTCTGAGAAATTATATCTCTTTCCAAAGCGTCTACTAAGTCCTTGTCATATCCAGTGCTATCAAATTTATTTGTCTCTGGTTCTGTAACTGCAGCAGGTGATTTGTTCTACAATGGCAGAAAAAACAAGAGCTTCTGACTGCTTGGAAGACTGTATTTTGTTTCTCTGGCAAAGGGCCTGGCAGGGTGTCTCAGTATGAAGCACCTGGGTTCAATCTCTAGGACTACCGAAAAAAGAAAAAAAGGTTCAAGGAAGGTATTGCCCTGGAAGTATTTACAAAGTGGCCATTCATTCAAAATACTCAGTATCTGTTTTGTGACAGCAGCTCCAGGCATAGAAAGAAGACATCTGCCAGGAACATACAACGTACACCAAGAAGGGTAGGAATGGAAGGCATTGCTAGTGCCTTTTCTTTTCTCCCACAGAACACAGTGCTGACAGAGCACAAAAAATTTTTAGCTCAGCTGAAAGGAAAAACAGAGCTAGAATAGGTCAGCCAAAGAGAGCTGTGGAATCTGACATCTCTCAGAGTTTAGCTGAATTAGTACATGTTTCTTTATTAAGTATACATTTATTCAATAATCTGTTCTACATGAAAATACTCCCAGTGCTGTAGGCATGCACCACCACACCTGGCCACAGCCAGTCATTTTAAAAGCTGACAGAATTAAAAATCCAAACTCTGTTGCCTCAATTAAGTTAAAAATAATAGCTGGGCTTTCACTTGCAGAAGATGGAACACGTACTTTTCACTATTCCTCCCACTAAGGAGAACCAGACCTCTTGGGCATCATATACAAAACAAATACCAGACGCCGCAAGATTCAGAGAAGACAGCAGACAGCTGGGGAACTCAAGGCATAGTGTGAGTTCCCTGGGTTTTCTTTTCCTTTCTTTATTTAGTGATTCAGTAAGCAATTATGAACATATTTGAAGCAAGCAAACAAGTAACAACAAAAGAACACCAGAAAGCCTCAAAAACAAATGGATGACTCCAAAGAAATCCATGCCAAAACACACACTATAATTAAACTTCCGAAAATTAAAAAGAAAAGAAAGCAATGAGAGAAAATTAACACCCTGTCTATACAGAAATACAATCTAATGAAAGTAGACTTGTGCTCGGAAAGCAACAGGCCCACAAGAAAGTGGTACCTGTACCCAACAAAACCTCAGTTCTCAAGTACCCACAGAAAACTCAGAATCCTAGACACAGCAAAAACACTCTTTAGAAACAGAAAGAAAATCGAAACATTCATAGATTAACATTCAAGTTTTTATATACACACAATACCCAGAGAAATTACTAAAAATGCTATACACAGATATACTCAAAAATACTATAGAAGCTGGGTGTGGTGGCATACTCCTGTAATCCCAGCACTTGGGAGGCTGAGGCAGGAGGATCATTGCGAACTCAAGACCAGCCTGGGCTACACAGTGAGCTAAAGGCCAGCCTGAACTGCATAGCGAGACCCTGTCTCAAAAAGACAAAAAATAAAAATAAAAAAATACTGTGGAGCTGGACATGGTGGTCCATGTCTGTAATTCCAGTGCTCAGGAAGCGGAAGCAGGCCTGCTGTGAGTTCAAAGCCAGCCTGAGATACATAGCAAGAACTTACCTCAAAAAACAAATAAATAAAAATACTACCAATAAATTAAAGTAGAATTCTAAATAATGTTCAAGTAACCCATAAGAAGTTTGGAAAAAGAAGCAAATAGAATATTCAAACAAAAAATAAAATGGTATACCTAAGCCATAACATAATAATTACATTAATGAAAGTTTGTCTAAACATACCAATAAAAGACAGAGATTGGCAGACTGGATTTTAAAATACAACCTAACCACATGCTGTAATGAAGAAACTTATTTTAATATATAGACAAACTAAAAGCAGAGAAAAGGAAATATATATATATAATGGAAACTCTAAGTCAAAGGAAAGTAGGCAAGTCTATTTTTTCTTTTTTTTGGTACTGGGAACTGAACTCATGACCTTGCACTCCCTAGTCAGGTGCTTGAGCTACTAAGCTATATCCCCAGCCGTGGCATGTCTATTTTTAATGTCAAATAAACTTCAAGAGAAAGAAAATTAACAGAAACAGAAAGGGACATTGTATAATGATAAAAGGGTCAGTTTACTAAAAAGACCAACCAATTCTAAACGTGTGAACACCAAACAAAAGAGCTACAAAATACATGTGCAAAAAAAAAATTGATAGAATTAAACTGGGTGTGGTGGTGCCTGCCTATAATACCAGTACTCAGGAGGCTGAGGCAGAAGGATTGCCTTGAGTTTGAGGCCAGCCTAGGATATATAGTGAGTTTAAGGCCAACCTAGGCTACAGAGTGAGACCCTGTCTCAAACAAACAAACAAACTAAAAACCTGACAGAACTAACAGGAGTAACAGGCAAACCCACAGTTATAACTGGGGACTTCAATAACCCTTTTTCAACAGTTGACAGAATACAAGAAAGAAAATCAGCAAGAATACACAACTCAATCAGCAAGGCAATGTCTACACTCAACAAAGCACTGATAAAAACTTCTTTGAACTGCTGCTAGTTTATTTTTAATGCATTCTTCTCCTACGGTCTCTGAAATAATAAAAAACTAAAGAGTGGTGAAATAGCTACAAATTTTTTTAAGTAGCTACATATATTAAACTAAAAGCTAGCCACACATATATATAGCTCAGCAGCACAAGTGCCTGCCTGGCAAGCACAAGGTCCTGAGTTCAATTCCTGGTACAAAAAAAATAAGTAAATAAACTGAAGGCTAAAATATTTTCACTGTTGGGCTGGGTAGAGTGGCTCAACGGTAGAGTTCTTGCCTTGCATGCACAAGGCCCTGGGTTCAATCCCCAACACCACAAAAACAAACAAACAAATAAAAAGAAAGCAACTTTGAAATGATTTAAAATATATATATATATTTTCACTGTTAATTTTTTTTGGTGATCCTCTCTTTGGAGAACTATTTTTGTTCTACTTTTAATCTAATACTTCTATTTTGATATCTGGATAACTTAAAGAACATTTTAAATATAATCATTAACCTCTAAACTATCTCATTAATTTTTTAAAAATCAATGCAATAGTAGAGGGGTTTAATCCAACAGAAAATACGAAAGTTTTAGTTACCTGAATTGTTTGAAGAAATAATAGCTAAGATTTACTAAGTACTTCTACATATCAGAAAAATTCTATCTCATTTACCCTCACAAAGATTCTCAGAGACAGGTGCTAATCTGGTTGGGGCATCACTCAGAGGCAGTGCATGTACTCAGCCTGTACCAGGTCCTATGTCTGATGACCAGCACACATTCAGAAAAAAAAAGTACTGTTATGGTTTGGGTCTGGATGTCCCCTAAAGCCTCATGTAGTCATGGCTGCGGGCTTCTAGAGTTTATGACTAATCTATGGTCCAAAGATGGGATTATGGGTGTGAATGCTATAGCTGCCCCGGAACAGGGAGCCTGCATACAGTATAAGGGAGGGAAAGAGGCTTGCTCTTGTTGCTTTTGCTATTTTCCACCACCATGAAAGGTTGCCCTGTGCGCCAGGTGCCACTCTGCCTTGGAGCCAGCCGAGTATGGACTGAAACCTCCACAAACTGAAGCTAAATAAACCTTTCCTTTCTTAATTTTGGGCACCGGCTATTTTGTCTCACCAACAAGAGAAAAGTAACTGAGACAAGTATTGACTCCATATCAGAGGAAAATAAAATTTAGAAAGACCAAATAACTAAAGGTAACATAGTCAGAAATAGAGCTGATGCTTAAATACAGGTCTAGCTAAATCTAAAGTCCACACTCTTAACTGCCATACCACATCTTTGAAAAGTTTTGTGTTTTCCTCCTTAACAACCACATCATATTAATTTGTTTGATAATGATCTGCTGATTAACAGAACCTCATGTTCTAAACATCACTTTTCAGGATGTAAAATTAGAGCTATGAACACACCATAGATGGTTACAGGGTTCATGAGCCAAGGTCCAAATGACACTCCAGGACAAGCTTGGTACTGATTAATACTGTAGAAAATCAAATTCCTCACCCACCTTTCCCATCTCTTCTTTTTCAGGAACAAAAACAGAACTAAGAAACAAAAAACAAGCCAGGCATGGTGGCACACACCTCAAACCCCAGCACTCGGGATGCTGAGGCAGGAGGATTGCTGCAAGTTCAAGGCCAGCCTCAGCTACAAAGTGAGCAAAGGCCAGCCTGAACTGCATAGTGAGACCCTGTCTCAAAAAGACCAAAAAAAAGAAAAAGAAGAAAAAAAAACCAGAACCACCACTGCTGCAAGAACAGAGATGTACTAGCAGGACTATCTGGGAAAAGGAACTTAAATCACTGACTACCCAGATTTCCAACAGCAAGTAATATCCAAAGTAGGAATGGGGTTAAAATAAGGCAGGTGGCCCAAAATCAGGAGTTAAATTAAGCCAGGTGGAATCAGGTGTGGTAGTACACACCTGTAACGCCAGTACTTGGGAGGCTGAGGCAGGAGGATCACTGCAAATTTGAGGCCAGCCTGGGCAACACAGTGAGTTCACAGCCAGCCTGAACAGCCTGAACTGCATAGCAAAACCCTGTTTCAAAAAGACAAAACACAAAACAAACAAATTTTTAAAATGAAAAAAAAAAAAAAATTAAGGTGGGTAAGGTGATGCACACCTGTAACTCCAGCACTCAGGACACTGAGGCAGGAGAAAAGCCATGAGTTGGAGACCCGTCTTGACTACAGAGGAATATTCTACAAGGCCAACCTGAAATACAGAGCAAGACCCTGTCCCAAAAACAAAAAACAAAAAAAGAAAATCTAAATTTATATCATTATCAGCAAAGAAGGTAAGATTCTGTTGGTTACTGGATGAGTTTTTTGTGTAAAAGTTACAATGCAAATCAGGAGAAGGAACTTGAAGTAGCAGGGCTGATCTGACATTTTGGGTAGGAGTGCACAGGTGCAGAATTGGGGAATTTATATTCTGCTAGACTTCATTTCTGACTTACTCAGGGGTGTGACAGGGGTTTTCTGGCACAATCAGCCATACAAGTAGCTCTATGCTTTACTGTATCACAGCCCTGGGCAGAGGATGAGAGGAGAAGAAGAGATGGAAGCAGAGGAGCTAGAAATTAAATTCATAGATCCCCATATACTCCCCACTACTATACAGTACAGGCCCTCAACACTAGCTCATGGCATCAAAATACTGGCTTCTAAATACCATTATCCACTAGTAGCACCCAAGCTCCCTCGAGAAATGAGGAATTCAGGAATATGGCAGGAGAAACAAGATGAGCTTGAAACATTCTACTGTGTCAGAAAATGAGAAGGTGCTCAGAGAATCATGGTTACTGTAAATGTCAAAAAGACACAAGATCTGGCAGTAGGGTCTCCCACGTCTCTTATCTTGGACAATTTTAAGTATCAGAATGATAGTTATAGATTATAACACTGTACAGAATAATCTGTGAGTCCATACTAATATAACTAAACAAAGAGAAAAAAGACAAAGCTTTTCCTTACAGCAGAATGCCAATTAATTAACATAGAAGCAATAATGGCATCTTGCATTCAGCATGAGAATAGCTGTTTTCAGATGGAAGATAAGACAAGCAGATGATATACTGATCAGAAACAGGATATTTACATAACCTGAAAGTATCCCCCCATAAATTACTGCAAAAGATAAAACAGTAAGTTTATCGTGAGAAAACCTAGCAGACGCCACCTTAACCAACTGACCTAATTTATCACTGGTGCAAGACAGATACCCTGTGCTTTCTTATGCTATACTGAGAACAGAACACTATGCCACTGGTCTTCCTGCCAAAAATGTATAACCTTAATCTAATCATCAGACAAACCTGAATGGAGGAACACCCTACAAAATAACTGGCATTTTTGAAGAAACTCTTCAAAGCAAAGTCTACACTCTTCTTCAGTATAGACTCTTCAAAAATGTCAGACTAAAAATGATAAGGCTGGGGCTGGGGATTTAGCTCAGCGGCAAAGCGCCTGCCTGGCAAATGCAAGGTCGTGAGTTCAGTTCCTGGTACCAGAGAAAAACCAAAAAACCAAAAAAAAAAAAAAAATGATAAGGCTGAGGAAATGTTCACACTAAAAGAAACTAAACTGCAGGGCATGGTAGCACATGCCTATAATCCAGTGGTGGCGAACCTATGGCATATGGGCCACAGTGGGCTGTTTACCATTAAAAGCACTAAAAGGTTCACCATCATTGCATAACCCCAGCACTGGAGAGATTGAGGCAGGAAGATCACAGCAAGTTTGACCCTAACCTGATTACATAATGAGTTTAAGGCCAGCCTGACCTACACAGCCAACTGTATCTCTCTCTCTCTCCTTTCTCATTCATACACACACACACACACACACAAATAAATAAATAAATAAGACTAAAAGTGCTAGGTGCAGTGGTACATACTGATAACCCCACCAGCTGGGAGACTGATTCAGGAAAATTACAAGTTCAAGGCCAACCCAGGCAACTGAGACCCTAAAATACAAAATAAAAATACATACATATAAAAATGTGGAGATGTACATCAGTGCAAAGCCCCTGGGTTCAATCCCCAGTACCACACAGATTGTACAGATAGATGGATGGATGCATAGATAGATGCGGGGGTAGGCGGAGAGGCAGGCAGGCAGGCAGGCAGGCAGACAGGCAGACAAAATTGGAAGAGATTAAAGGACCATAACAATTTAATGCAACATGGTATTCTGTGGCTCTAGACTCAAGGTGAGTGAAGGGGAGAGCTGAAGCGACCTTACTGCAAAAACGAGTTTTACACAGACCTGTGAATTAGCTGACAATACTGCAGGTAGCAATGTAAAATTCACTGCTTCTGACAACTGTATTGCATTTCTGTAAAATAATACCTAATATTTAGGAAATATACTCTAAAGTATTGAAGGTAAAGAGGCATTACCTACAACTTTTAGATGGTTTACAGAAAAATATACAAAAAGAAATAATAAAAAAAAAGGAAAATACTAAAAATTGAGAAAACCAAGTTAAAAAATCCTTACTTTTTTATGCTTTATTTCTTTATACTCTTTTGGAGTCTGAAATGATATCAGACTACAAAGTTACAAATAACAGCCAAAGGGGCTGGGGATTTAGCTCAGCGGCAAAAGCGCCTGACTGGCAAGCGCAAGGTCGTGAGTTCGGTTCCCGGTACCGGAGAAAAACCAAAAAAAAAAAAAAAAACAAATAACAGCCAAAAATATTTGTTGAAAGGTAAGTGGGAAAAATCCCAGCCCACAAGTAGTATGCTTAAGGTTTTATGTCAGCTCTGGCAAACTAATGATTCAAACTTACACAAATAATTTGGTCCGGGGATGGAGCTCAGTGGTACAGTGCTTGCCAGGCATATGCTAGGCTCTGGGTTCAATCCCTAGCACTGCCAAAAAGAAAAAGTACTTACATAGTGTTTTATTTTGTTTTTTGGCTGTTTATTCATTTTTAAGGTTAATAAATGTGTAACTTTTTTAATTATAAAAATTATTAATGTTTACCTTTTCTTCTCTTCCTTTATTCTGTTCCTTCTTTTCACGACAGCGAACAGCTTTCCCTCTGTCATTGTGCAGATTCTGTGCAGATGGGCGGTGAACTCTGACAGCTGTACTTGGGCGGTGACTATGTGGTTTGGGGTCACTGTACTGAGGAGACTGGCGTTTTCTAGGTCCAGGTGAGGGTCTAATCAGAGACAAGATTATAAAGACATCAACACTTGAGTTGGCCCAACTATGAATATACATGGTGTGTCAGTTACAGTAATAAACTAAAGAAACCAAGGCAAAAGCTAAACACAGGAAAGGATTGAACAGACTTCAGGTCTAAGCTGAAACCTAAGGTCTCAAATTTAAATTTGACGAAGGCTGTGATGACTTGCAGAGAGAAATGGAGTACAACTATTATCAGAGAAATCATGAAGGGAAAGTAATGGTCACCTCTATGCAGAAAGAACGTTACTGTGTATCAAAGATGAATGAAAAATTAGTCCAACTGCCAAACAGGACAATAAGAGCAAATATCAAAAACAGTGTTATCAAAGGAACCAGAAGACAGTGCAAATTCTAAATTTATGTTTACCCACTGATATATATGCAATTTGGTCCTACTTTAGATTATGTCATTATTCTTTCATGTTTTGTCTTTTTTTATGGTGCTAGGGATTTGGGGAGGGGGACAGGGTCTTGCCATGTTGCCCAGGTGGATTCCAAATAGGCAATCCTGCCTCAGACTCTGTGGTGGATGGGGTAATAGGTGTGAGCCACTGCACCCAGCTCGGTGTTTTAATTAATAAAGTTTTAATTACTTTCCCATTAAAAGCCTGACATAAGCACTACCTGAGGACAGTTGTTTACAAGAGCTCATGCCTGGTTCTCTGTATTTATATACACTATCTCTTAATTTCTGTTGCAGGGTTCAGCCCTCTCAAATATTTACTAGGGTCCTATTAGGTGCTATACTTGTTTGAGGCCACTGAAAAGAAGGAGAAAAGAGGAAAAAAAGGAAAGGTCTCTTGAAATACCTCACAGAGTATTTTACAAAAGGAGGTATGTAAATGAGGCAAGTCTACCAGAAGGTATAAAACAGATTTAGTGCTATAGCAACAGGAATGGCCTCATGAAGACAGAAAATAAGCTGGGCCTGGAAACAGAAGTGCTGAACTAGACAAGATGCTATAACTGGAGACTAGAAAATCAATGAAGAAAAACACAGTAAAAAAAAAATGAGATTAACCAGTGTAAAGGATATGAAAACATAAACTTGGCATGTAATGGTAAGCACTGAGATGGTATTGAACAGATAAGGTGGTTCTGTAAATAGAAGATCTGAGCCAGTTCCAGACTCATTCTTCTAAAATCCTTTTAGTAAATTGAGCCAACTGTCCATAAGAATCAGCTGGGGATAGTGGTGCACACCTGTAATCTCAGCACTGTAGGAGGCTGAGGCAGGTATGTCATAAGCTCAAAATCTACTTGGGCAACTTAGGGAGATCCTGATTCAAAATAAAAAAATAAAAGGCCTGGGGAAGTAGTTCAGTGCAAAGGCCTTGGGTTCAATTCCCAGTACCCAAAATCAAAACAAAAAAAACCAATCTACTGAAAAGGTTTAGGTTATAGAAAGATTAGTCTACTACTGAACAAGATACACTGGTAAAATGTAGAATACAGGGAGATGTTTGCAGATTACACATGTTTAAAAGATATAAGGAAAACATCCATTAATGCAAATTAATAAGTAATATGAAGCCCTAGCTTAAAACTGCAGCAACAGGAAGAATATGGAAGACAGCCTTTCTGAGGTGTAACTTCAGGAGACCTGAACAAAAAAGAGAACAGTCAGAAGTGATAGCACACATCTATAATCCTAGCACTCAGGAGGCTGAGGCAGGAACAGCACCACGAGTTTGAGGCCACCTTGGCTACATAATGGGTTCAAGGCCAGCCTGGACTATACAGCAAGACATTTTCTCAAATTTAAATAAAAAAAAGGGAAGCCAGGTGTGGTGGCGCACAATCCTAGCACTTGGGAGGCTGAGGTTGGAGTACTGTTGTGAGTTCGAGGCCACTGAGTTCAAGACCAGTTTGAATGGCATAGTGAGACCTTGTCCCAAAAAGACAAAAAAAAAAAAAAAAAAAAAAAAAAAAGGAGACGGAGATGGAGATGGAGATGGACATGGAGACGGAGACGGAGATGGAGACGGAGACCAGGCCTTAAGTCACTGGAGCTGAAGCAAAGGCAAGAGGAAGCACACTTGTGTGCCTGCTTTGTTCAGGAACCCTAAGGCAGAAAGAAACAAGAACTTAGGACACAGAAGTGCGGCCCTTCACAAGGTGTGGAAAAACATTTGAAAACTCTAGGTTTTATCCTGGAAGATGGGAAAAGATTTGAGGGACATCCAGTGACATACACACATACATTCATTTATTGAGTTATGGTACCAGGAATCTAACTCAGGACTTCACACCTGCCAGGCAGGTGCTCTGCTGTGGAGCTATAATCCCACCTCCACTGATTTAAGACACTTTATAGGATGCACATCTAGTAGCACTTAAGTATTTCTAACCTTTTCTCTGTAATTTCAATGAACCTTCTAGTGCTCACGTGTGTGTATGTGTGTATGTGTGTGTGTGCGTGCACGCGCGCACATGTGCAGCACTGGGAGAAAATACAGCATCAGGCTAATCTGCTCTTTAAATGGGACTAAAATGTAGGTGATGAAGTTACAATCACCACCTTAACTGAAGACAGAATGACGTGATTTGCATATGAGTACAAACTAAGAGTTACAGAAAAACAAAAGTTTTTAAATTTCTGTCATCTTGTTTTGAAATCCTGTATCATTTTCATTGTTTTTGTGTTGTTTTGTTTTTGTCTTTGTTTTTTGTTTTCTTTTCTTTAAAATAAATTTTTAAAAAAAGTTTGAAAGATAGTCAAGGGAGCAAGTAACATAAATTGCAGGCAAACAGATACAACAAATGAAAGTCAAAGATGAGAATTTAATAGTAATTCAGGACATTCAAAACCAGGGCCAGAGCTGGGGATGTGGCTCAGAGAAGAGTGCTTGCCCAGCAGCCACAACATCCTGGGTTCAGTCCATGGAGGCAGAGGGGTCAGGGAAAGAAAAAGGTATTAAGTGCTTGGCATGGTGGCACACAACTATAATCTGTGAAGCAGGAGGATCAAAAGTTATAGGCCAGCCCTGGCAAATTGGTAAGACCCTATAACAAAATTTAAAAAAAAGAAAAGAAAGAAAATGGCTATGGATGTGGCTCAGTGGTACATCACTTGCCTACCATCCACTGAACCCTCTGTTCAATTGCCAGCATTGCAAACAAAAGAAAATATTGAAGAGAAGGAGCAGCCATATGAAGGGACACTGTAATAAATACAGAGGTCCTTAATCCTGCTTCTGCCCAAGACTGAGACATACTTCACTAAACTTACACTAGTTAATACTAAATTTTCACTAGCCACATCTATTTATTGGAAAGATCTTACCAATAACTAAGACAGGAGTTACAGGGTTGTTACAGACTCAAAATCTGGCCCCCTTATTCAGATTTTAAAGGTACCCCCCCCCATGACTGTCTGGACTGAGTAAATAATTAAGGTTAAAAAGGCCACAAGAGTGAAGCCCTGAGCTGATAGCATTCTTGGCCTTTTAAGAGAGTGGAGAGGCTGCTCTTGTCTGCTCCATGAACATGCAGAGAGGAGGTGGCCATCTGCTGAAGAAGAGTCCTGAGGAGCAACTAATCCTTCAGCACCGTGTGGTTATGCTCCCAGCCTCCAGCACTGTGAGAAACAAATTCCTGCTATTTAAGCTCCCAGTTTAGAGTACTGCATACTTTGTTATGGCAACACAAGCAGACTCATACAAAGGCCAAGTGATTACTCTCCAGAAGGAGGGAAAAAAAAGACAACTAGGCGAAAAATATTTTCATTGGCTAGTTCTACTTCTGAAATTAAGGAAGAATGTGGAAAGAGTTTTACCCACAAATATTCACTTCAACTTCATGTGTAATAATGAGAAAAGGGAAAACAACCAATAAGCACAGTTAACTATGAGGATTATATCCCACTCACAAGAGTAGCACACAATTCCTAAAAGGCAGCAGAGGACAAGGTTTCATACTGCTTATAAATCGTTAGTATTTACCACAGGAAGAACAAATAATTTATCTAACTTAAGTTCCCTCATCAGAAATTGGGGCTAAAAAATTAAAACCGGTGTGAGAAACCAAAAGTATAAATAAGGACCAACATGTATAATAGGTATTGGGAAATGGGAGGAAAATGTTCAAATGGAAAGGGGAACAAGGGAGGGGGAGGGAGAGAGGAAAGAAAGGACAAGAAAATAGAAGGAAAAAATGGAAACAAAGCTTTTGTAAATAAGGAGAAGAGGGGCTGAAGGGAGCAAAGCAGTGAATGGGAAAAAAGAAGCAAGATATATACAGGTGCAAATTCCCCATGATGAATGTGATCATCATGTATATCTAAAATTTTTAAATTTTTTTTTAAATGCTTACTCCAGAAAAAAAATTAAAATTGTATTGAGAATTAAATAATATATATAAAGCAATTACCACACCATCACAGTACCTGGCATGCAGTAAATATTCAATGACCATTGCCTAATAATAATATGTTTCTTTAAAAAGGGTATTACATTGTGAACTGTGATGTCACAGGTACTACTGTGAAAATAAACAATTACATAGAAATCAGAAGGAAATAAAGCAGACTGGCTGTGTGGTTTTTCCCAGTTCTATGAATTTTCCTATTTTTATTTAATGAACCTACTGTACTTTTTTTTTTTTAGAGACAGGGTCTTGCTATGTAGAGTTTCCAGGCTGGTCTTAAACTCATCTATGTAGCCTAGGGTAGCTTCAAACTCAAGCTCACTGTACTTTTTAAGTAAACCATGAAATATAATGAAATATAATTTATATAAAGGTATTTATGAATGTGGATTTTAGTAAATATTCAAGATATTAGGAGTCACAGAATATTAGTACTTTTATTAGGAACTAAAAAAAAGTAGCTAAGAAACAATCCATATTCATTAATTGATCTTAAATGCCAGAAACATTTTGGCACTGAATTTTTTTCTTTTCTTTTCCTTTCTTTTTCTATTAGTAGTAGAATTTTAAAATGGGACCCATGAGCCAACTATCTGCACATTCCTGGGCTCTGCCTGCTACTCCTATATATGATTCTCTGAAAGTAATGCACCCAAATCTACATTTTTAATTACTGGTCCCAGGACACTGTTTTGTATGCTAGCTGAGAAGGACAGATATGGCAGAGTGCCATCTTTGAACCATTACTATAAAATGCAATAAATCTGCGCACAAATGCAAGTTCTATCAGTTATTAACTTCATGATACTGAGGAAAAGTTATCTTACCTCACAGCACCTCACAGCTTTTTTGGTCAAATATAGGCAAAATACAACTTATTGGAAGGTTTATTATAAGAAATAAATGAAATTACACATGTAGCCCAAAATAATGCTCAGAATACTGTGATACTCATTATTCATCTATTATAAAATACAATCAAAAACTGAGTTACAATGACAATGTTCAAACTAAAAAATATCTAAGTCACATTCTAACACACAGAACCAGATAAGGGACAAAAGTTAATGGATTTTATATTTAATTAACTTTTAAAACCTGGATATCATGAGTGTTTTTTCCAGAAATCCACAACACAGACTTATGTTTAACTCCATAATTTAAACGACGAAATCTATTGAATGAATGAAATAGATACCTGACATCTAACTGGGCACTTGTTAATAAAAAATACCTGGTAAGACTAAGAACGACTGGCTGCTTAGAGCACTTCAGTAAATACCTATTTAATTAACTGTACATTTTCTGGCGCTAGGGAGTAGGAAGGCAGGAGTAAAATGCCACAGACAACCTTAAAACTGAGAACATTTTATCATTTTGTTTTTCTGTGAGTTAAACTTTTTTTCAGCCTTAGCAGTACACTTAAAAAGCAGTATTCTGTGAATGTTTGTTTGAGAACCTCTGTTAATCTGACTCCTGCACTTCATGTAAGAAAAATCTGAGGCCTACAAGGCTGTATTACTTTCCCAAAGCTGCAGGTAACGGTAAAGACAGAACAGAGCCCAGATGCTCCAACCGCCATCCCCATTCTCCTTCCGGGAGACGACACAGTGTCTGTTACTTGTAAGTCACTCACTGAAGTGTGTTTTTGGCTTATTTCCACCTAAATTTTAATTCCTCAAATAGATCACCATCACCTGATATACTACTTATAAAAGAACTTGCAGTAAAAACTTCCCTCTCCTTTGTGTCTCTCAGCCACCCAGTCCTCCTCCTGGGTATGACCAATGCTCATCAGCATCTTGCGGCAACCGAGTTCTTAAAAGGTGCTCTCCTTACCTCCGTTCAACAGGCACAGGCAAGGACCAGACTTCTCCTTCAGAGGCCGGAAGCTCATGCTGCGCAGCTTTCAAGGGAGTGCTGTCTAGTTTAAAGCTCTCTAGTGTTTTCATGATATCCTTAACATGTTTAGCTTCCACATTTATTTCCTGCCAAACCTGGTTTCAAAGAAGAATATGGCTCTTTAAATTTCTGTAACAAATCACTGCCAAGGATAAACTTGGGCCATTTATTTGAGATGTTAGAAACCTCCTTTTTGGTAACATATATCCTATAACCACACCCAGATCTTCTGTCAAAATTTTAAATGGTCCATTAATTCTCTGTTTTCAAGTGCAAAATTAATTCTGATCAAATGAATTGAACATCATGGCTAAACTGTGTTCCCGATACAGTTCTTATTCAACTCATGTAACAAACTGAAAGGTTAACTAAATTTAATGTTTACCAAAAATAAAACTTATGCAAGGTATCCTCTGATGGATTTTATATTTAATTAACTTTTAAAACCATGCTCTCCAGGCATGGTGGAGCACGCCTATAATCCCAGCACTCGGGAGGCTGAGGCAGGAGGATCCTTGTGAGTTCGAGGCCAGCCTGGGGCACAAAGTGAGCTCAAGGGGAGCCTGAACTGCATAGCGAGACCCTGTCTCAAAAAAGACAAAAAATAACAACAAAAAAAACCATGCTCAAAACCCACTAATTGCATAAATAATGGATCACAACTTCTAGTTGAGAAAATATGGATTCAAAGTGTAAATGTCTTAATCCACATCCAAACTATTTTTGAAAGGCAGTTTTGACTCAATTTAAAAACTACATATGGTGACAGTTGCAGAACATTGTGAATGTATTTAATATCCTGAGCTATACATTTACCAGTGGTTAAGTTGGTAAAGTTTATTATGTCTATGTTCTACTATAAAGTGTCTCTATACAAATTTTGGCTTTCTGACTAAGTCTCAGTCCTAAAAACAAAATCTCTAAAAAACCTGTCAGTGACAAACCTTTCTGGTAATGTAAAGGATATGAAAGGGGAGATTCAGTACAAAGAGTACATTCAAATAGACAGCCAGTGCTCAGGAGGCTGAGGCAGGAGGACTGCCATGAGTTCAAGGCCAGCCTGAGCTACATAGCAAGACCCTGTCTCAAAATAAACAAACAAACAAAGACAAGATAGCTTTCTAAAAGATTAAAGACAATCGTAAGATTCAAAAAGCAGTTACAAGGGGGCTGGGGATTTAGCTCAGGGGCAAAGTACCTGCCTGGCAAGCGCAAGGTCCTGAGCTCAATCCCCGGTACCACAAAAAAAAAAAAAAAAAAAAGCAGTTACAAAACAATATTCCACATAGAAGATCAGCTCAAAAAGACCAATAATCTGTGTAACACTTCTTTTCTCTTATGACAGCTGAATCTTACAATAAGTGCTACCCTCAACTGGACTTGTTTTAGTTTCCACCTGAAAATTTCTGTTGGTCTTCAGTGGCTGAAGTTCCTCAAGTGAGATTCAACCTGCTTTGTAAAGTTTGACAGGGAACATGGTGCCGGTGAGATTCAGCTGTCATTTAAGGCTTGACAATGTCTTAATAATGTAAACTCTAATTTTAGGTAAAAATCAAAACTACATAAAAGCACTTTTTAACAATTAAAAAAACCATTACTTTTAAAAAATGTATTACATTACAATAATTAGAATAATTAAGTAGAGCTTATAATACTGCTGAAGGTAAAAGGGTACTAATAAGGTTTCAAATAATATATACAAATCCATGAAATAAGCCATACACTTCCAATGCGTGCATGCAGAGCTGACGCGTGAGAAAACCTCTTCTGAGAACTTAAGTCATTCAAATACACAACAGCCCACGTTCTCACCTGCTGCCATTTTTGCTGGAGGTACGTATCTTTGACTGAGTACAGATACTTGTTCATTTGGTCAAGAACTCCCTGATAATAGACCATCGCAGAGTCATAGTTTCCCAGCAATGCATATTCACGAGCCAGTTTTACATTCTCACTAATCATAAGAAGACTCATGCTCAGCTGTAAGCTGAAAAAAGAAAAAGAAACATTTTGTATCTCATGTCTCCTAAAAATAAATACCACACAGAATTTTTACATGAATAGCTGCAAAAACTGTAAACTGCTGATGTCTGATGGTGTATTGAGATGAACAGTTAATGATTACAATTTTTTATGTTCTGATCGATTGTGCATGCTTGTGTCTGATGGTCTGAGCAACTGATCTGAAGGTAACAATATGCAATGGAATTACAATAGTGAACTCCTACCATCTTGTCTAGTGAAGCTCAGTATTAACTCTAATGTTTTATTGAAGAATTATTTTCTTATTTCCTATAATGGTTTGAGCAATCTTTCATTCTTACAATGTAGGTGAGCAATGTAGGTGAGGATAGCAATATGTAATGTAACAACCAATATTGATTTGTATTATTTTGTCTTGAGACTCTGTATTACTTTGAATATTCTTGCTTTGATTTGTTTATGTTTGTGATACTGGTATGCTGCTACTGTTCTATTTCTTTGTTTCTCATTTACTATTCTCTTTAAAATAAAAAATAATAAAAAAGTATACTTTCTACCTGCTCCCCAAGAATCTCCACATCACACAGGGCACTTTCTATCTCTACACATTTGCTCCTGCTATTTGCACTCCTTGGAGAAGCACTGTATTTCCTGTATCTTAGTCCTGTGTGTCAAAGCCTCACTCAGAAGTTGGGTTTCTCCACTGTCTGCTCCTTGGATTTCTCAGTTCAAAATGAATGTTCCCTCTTCTAATGTCCTCTGGCGCTTTACTAGGGTTTCATCTCATGGTATTTGTCCTCAGTACTATAACTTTATAGACTCCTTACTCAAAGTTCTCTGAGAGCAGGATTCACATCTGGAGGGTGAGAGACCTGTCCTTGGTGTAAGACACACCAGTCTTATTTTTTTTTTTTTTTTTGGTTTTTCTCCGGTACCGGGAACCGAACTCACGACCTTGCCCTTGCCAGGCAGGCGCTTTTGCCGCTGAGCTAAATCCCCAGCCCCTCACACCAGTCTTATTAAACATCTGCAAGAACCCATGCTGAATGTTAGCTTTTGGAGGCATATGAATTAGAAGAAACCATCTGTGATTTTTTTGTTGTTGTCACTTTTTGAGACAGGGTCCAGTCACGTAGTTTGGGTTGGTCTTGAACTCACTATATAGCTCAAGCTGGCCTTGAGCTCATGGCATTCCTCTTGCCTCAGCCTCCCAAGTGCTGCGATTGTGGGCACGTACTACCACACCATGCCATATGTGTACCTTGGTTACAACTGTAATTCAGCCACACTGGTCAAGTCCCTTAACTCTTTTCTAAGACTGTGTTTTAAATCTGTAAAACTGGGATGGTAGCTACTTCTAAGAGTTGCACTGTTAAGAATAAATGACTACAGTACCTAGCAACTACCTGGAAAAGTGGGCTGTTAATAAATGCTAAATGCACCTCCCCAGAACTTTCTCTGTATGAGAATTTAATCTGTGTGTTTACTAGGATATGGACATATGGGTATGGATATACATACGGCATCAGAAACAGGTCAGTTTTTGTTAATATTAACTGCTATTACTGATTAACTGCATAATGAAGTTCAAAGTTGGGAGTATCTGCATGCTTTTCAGGAGATAATTCTTTGGATTAGGGAGCATTGTGGCTTTGAGAATTTAAAAAAAGGAAATCTGAAACATTGTGGTGAAAGAACTGTGAGAGTTATTTATGAACTCACTGTGTGGAAAAGATGTTTAAAATGATTAAAATTTCCTGTAAGTCCAACACTCCAGAGGCTGAGACAGGAGGACTGCTATGAATTTGAGGCCAGCCTGGGCTATATACTGAGTTCAAGGCCTGCCTGAACTACACAATGAGACCCTATCTCAAAAACAGAAAGAAAAAATTTCAAGCCATGCCATACATGGTGGTGCACACCTGTAATGCCAGCACTCAGGAGGCTGAGATAGGAGGATCACAGTTAGTTCAAGGCCAGTCTGGGCAACACAATGAGTTCAGAGCTGGCCTAGACTACACAGTAAGACCCTGTCTCATAAGCATAATGAAAAATAATTTTTAAAAAATGAAAAATCATACAAAAGCTAAGAAGAAACAAAAGTATGAAGGAAGTGAAGTTTCTTACTCCTTCTGTATATCTGTAGGGTATCCAACCAGATGTACCTTATAGATTAACAGAGACAACTTCTATGTGGGGACTCATTAAACTAGCTTAGTTAGCGGTATTTTCCAAAACTGTGCTTCTTGGGGCTGGGGATTTAGCTCAGCGGCACAGTGCCTGCCTGGCAAGCGCAAGGTCGTGAGTTCAATTCCGGGTACTGGAAAAAAAAAAAAAAAAAAAAACTGTGCTTCTTGACACCCCAACCCCACTCACTACTCACCACTGGTAAGACTGAGGAAACAAATCTGACAGAGAACATGGCAGTTCTTATGTTCTGTGTATATATAGTCATTTTTGGTGGGAGGGTGTCTTTTTGAGACAAGGTCTCACTCTGCCATTCAGGCTGGCCCCAAACTCACAGTGATCCTCCTGCCTCAGCCTCCCGGCTGCTGGGATTACAGGCATGCACCACCACACCTGGCCTATAAATAGTTTTTATTCTTGTATAAGAACTTTTGGAGGAAAAAACAGGCCAAGAAAATTTCTTGAATTTAATTTTAACTAAATGCTTGGCTGGTGAGCGGGCCAGGGCTGCTGATGACAGGCCAACCAGAAACATTGATCAGACTCACTGCGTTAGGAAAAGAGACTCAGATTCAAACAGCCCAGAACCTGTCCCACGTTAGAGGAGGACAAGAAACGAGACTGCTAGGAAATGCTGCCGGCAGAAGAGCTAAATATGAGCACTGCTTTAGCACAGCAGATGAGCGTGGGTATAATGTTCCCTAGAAGGGCGGTGTGGGAGGTGAGTTCACAACCTCAGTGCAGAAGCAGGGAGGCAAAAATCACACCAACCACCTCAGGCCTCTCTCTATGCCAGTCTTCCGTAGTTCTTATTTCTAACCAGCTAAAGTTACAACTACTGATCCTTGGTCCAGTTAGGCTTCAGAGATACTTGCCATGTTTTATGTATTAAACCTTTCTTCGCCATATCACGTTGAATTTTTTAGCACAAAGCAAGACAGCAAGCCTTGTGGAAAACAGTCCTACAAATGTCACAAGCTGTTAAGTAAGGGTGGCCCATGACCAAACATTACATTCTGAAAGACCTGAAGAACCAATGAGTAACAGACAGCAGTTGGGTCCCAGTATGTGGGGGTGTACACAGCAGCCCAGGGGGAACAGAGTCAGAGTTTTCTAACGATGTAGCTATGTCCTTTCTGAACCCGCCTCCCTGAGGATTTAAACCAGGGCCTCTACACAAAGCTATATCCCCAGCCATGTTTTATATTTTATTTTGAGACAGGATTCCTAGGCTGGGCTCAAATTGTGATCCTCCTGCCTCGGCCTCCCAGAGTGCTAGGACTGAAGGCCAGGATATAGCTCAGTGGCACGAGCACGTGCCTGGCAAGCGCAAGGTCCTGAGTTCAATTCGCAGTACAAAAAGAAAGTTAAAAAGTACAAAAAAGACAGAAAAGCCGGGTGTGGTGGTGCACGCCTGTAATCCCAGCACTTGGGAGGCTGAGGCAGGAGAACTGCAAGAGTTTGAGACCAGTCTGGGCTACGAAGTGAGCTCAAGGCCAGCCTGAACTGCACAGCAAGACCCTATCTCAAAAA